ACTCATCTCTTAGCAATTGAAAGAATAACAGAAAACCAGCTAGGATATGAAAGAACTCAACAATAGTATCAAACAATAGCACTGATGGAACACTCTGTCCAATAACAGAAGAATACAAATTCTTTTTAAGTGACCAGGTGTCTCAGACCACTATAAACCACATCCTGGCCCAGGGATTTAGCTCAGTGGTGCCACAGCCTGCCTTGCAAGCACGAGGTCCCAAGTTCGATCCCTGGTACCAAAAACAACAACAATAACAACAACAACAACAACAACAAACCCACATCCTGAGCCATAAAACAAACATCAACAAATTTAAAATAGAAATTAATAACAAAGATAACAGGAAAATCTCCAAAAAGTTTAAAACTAAACAACATGCTTCTAAATAATCCATGGTCAAAGAGGAAATTTCAAGAGAAAAAAAACGCATTGAACTAAAAAAAATGCAGGGTTTGGGTTTAGAACATGATATCCCAAAGTATGGTGCCTTGACATGCTGAATACCTTGAACTCAGGGAAAGGAGACCAGAAACAAGATCTTTCTGATACTGTCTTTGCCCTCCCTTTTCTTGCCATAGAAACTAGAACTCCTCCTTCCCAAGTGGTTTGGTTTCCCAAGGGAAAGCCAGCCACTAGACCTAGAAATATTTTATCCTTCCTGTGGCTTTCTGTGTGGCCACAAATAAATTCTTTGATCTGCCTTGTCTGACAGTGGGCCCTAATATCCTCTCTTCAGAAAGGGTCCTGCCATGTACCTAGAAGAAAGAAATGTTACATAAAGGGGCCAAGAAGAACCCTAACAGACAGGCCTGTCTGGGCTTCCCAACGATCTTTTACCACAAGAACGTCCCTTTGTCCAGTCACATTTCAAAATGGCTGTCCATGCTTCATCAAACCTAAGCATAAAGACAGGCAGTTTTCCCCGAGTCTCTGGGTCTTTATTTCTGAAGGCTCCAATGGCACGTAAAAACATCGATCAAATGTACCTGTTATGTTATTCTCCTGTTAATCTGTGTTGGTAACTTTTTATACCAAACCTATCCTGGAACCCTGGCAGAGATGAGGTAATTGTTCCTGCCCTACAACAACCTATCAAAATTTATGAGACATGGTAATGCTGAGAGGGAAACGGAAGCACTAAATGCTTAGATAAGAAAAATATCAAATCAATAATCTACCTCCCTCCAGAACTCAGAAAAGAAGAGCATAATAAACTCTAAGCAAGTAGAAGGAAGAAAACAAATACAGGTCAGAGGAGAAAACGAGAGAGAAAAATCAATAAAATGAAAAATTGATTCTTTGAAAAAAATAAAAGAACTGACAAATCTCTAGCAAAGTTGACAAAGAACAAAGAGATAAGACATGAATTACTAGTATCAGGAGTGAAATAGGATATCACTCAAACTCTGCAGATATCAAAAGCACAGGAAGCTGGGGTCGTGGAGGTGCACTCCTGTATTTATTTATTTATTTATTTTTGATACCAGGGATCAAACTCGGGTCCTTGCGCTTGCGATGCAGGATGCAGGCGGCGTAACCACTGAGCTAAATCCCCAGCCGCCTGTTTTTATTTTTGTTGGGGTTTTTTTGGTACCGGGGATGGAAGTCTGGTCCTCGCGCTTGCGCAGAAGGCGGCGAAACCACTGAGCTAAATCCCCGGTCCCCCAGACGCCTGTTTTTAGACCTAGCTATCTGACAGACCTTAGTGGAAGACTCTTAAATTCTTTAGCAAACGCTGATAAAAGCCATTAGCAAGCGTTCTGACCTCATCTGATACATATATGTTAAGGATGGTACAATATACACTCCGTTATGAATGAATCAACTCTGTACATGGTACCATGCCCAGCTGGTTTCAAATGGAGTTAAAAATAAATTTCTGAAAACTTTTTGTACAGCATGAAAAATCTCTTGAGTAATATGCTAATGTAATTATTTCTAAATACAAAAACAAAATGCTAAAAACATCTCAGTCTTACACTGGGGGAATTAGTTCTTTAGGTTTAAAATGTTCTCTGCTCTGGGCTATTTTACTGCCAAATTACCTGGCCTTTTTTTTTTTTTTTGGTACTGGGGATCCAACTCGGGTCCTTGCGCTTGCGCAGCGGGCGGCGAAACCACTGAGCTAGATCTCCAGCCCCTGCCTGGCTTTTTATATTTTAATAGTAGAGCTATAAATTAGCTCATTCATTTCCAAACAAATACACATAGATACATTTTGATGTCTAAAACAGGGGAAAATATTAAGTCTCAAAAACCAGACTAAGCATCCACTGCCTCATTTATTAGAGGAATAACAGTAATTGTTTAGAATTCCAGCTCTCGGGGAAATGCACCACCAAGTTAACTGTGGCAGCATCTGCGACCCTGGCCAATGTTTCCCTTCTCTTCCTAGGTCCTCCTACAGTCCATTTCATTCATTCATCCAATAAATATTTATTGAACACCAAAACACTAAAAAATTCCAGCTCAATTTTGGGTAGCTAGCAGGTGTTAGGAAAGCATTTGCTGGCCTACTTGACATACTTTTGAGTTTAAAGTTTGGACATGAGATTCACAAAGATGCGGTTACTGAACATAAACATGGACTAAGCACCTTCCATGTTCCACATCCGGAATGTTTTCCTGTTGGGTATATAACTCTGATCAAGGGAGGTGCAGTTTGACTAGAAAGACATTACTCTGAATGCTATTAGTTTTCTTAAAATATAAACTTAGTTATAAAATAGCCTACAGTTATGTTTAGGAAAGTATTTGGCAGATAGGAAGCAACAGCTACAATACAGTGCAAGAAAGCCAGCATGGTGGTGCATGCCTGTAATCCAGGGATTCTGGGAGGCTGAGGCAGGAGGAGCAGGAGGTCGAGCCTAGCCCTGGCAATACAGCAAGACCTTGTTTCAAAATGAAAAATAAAATTAGGCCGGGGATGTAGCTCGGTGCGAAGGCCCTGGATTCAATCTCCAATACCACACACACACACACACACACACACACACACACACACACACAAAGAAAAAATAAAGATAAAACATGATCTGGATACCAGGGTGTAACGTCCCAAAATGACATCCTGACTAACATATTTCTGCTAAGATACCCTTGTATTTGGGTCAGTGTTCTCAGAACAGGGGTGGACTTGCTCTCAGGGAACATCTGGCAATGTTGGGAGACATTTCTGCCTGTCACGGAGGAAAGAAGAGTGTTATCTAACAGGGTGAGGCCAGGGATACCATCCAACATCCTGGACGCACACGACAACCCCATGACAAAGCTCTCTGTGGCCCAAATGTCAGTGTGGCAAGAAGAGAAACCCAGGCCTAGGGGCTGGAGTTCGGGCACCCAGGCCAGGGAGCTGTGGGTGCAGGATGGTGCGGCAGCTCAAGCCATCATCTGCCCTTGCCCCGGGCCCCTGGCACCCAGCGTGCCACCCAGGGAAGGGTGGAAACCCAGCGCATGTGCAGGGCCGTCTCTGTGGCACCAGCAGCTGAACATTCAGATGAACTGAGGTGTTGCACTTTGCGATGAACACGTGGGGCTCAGGGTTGCAGTGGGCATGTGGTCTCTAAAAGGCTCCCGGTCACTGACCCAGAGGTTCTGCCTTGTTACTGAGGGCTGCGAGGTGCCACCCACTGTGGCACTTTGCTGCCACTGCAGAGGCCATTAAGAAAGAAGCCCCCAAAGCAGGGAGTCAGTGGTGGCCATCAGAGGACAGGGAAGGGCGGACAGCGCGCTGTTGATCAAAGCGTACAGTGTCAACTAGACAGGGGTAAGTTTAGTCATCCACTGCGCAGCATGGTAACTACAGTTAATAATAATGTAAGTTTCAAGCTTCTAAGAACAGATTTTAAATGCTCTCACCACAAAGAAATGATAAATGGATGAGGTGATGGACGTTAGCTTGGTGTAATCATTTCACCAAGTATTTGTCATGATAACACGCTGTATCCTATAAATACATACAATTATTATTTGTTAATTAAAATGAAATTAAATTACCCTAAGAGACCAACAAAATTGACTAGATATATTTGTTTCATTTTCGTGTTTCTTTGAGACAGGCTTGCTATGCAGTTCAGGCCGGCCTTGAACTCATGGCGATCCTCCTGCCTCAGCCTCTAAGCACTGGGATTACAGGCCCACGTCACCACGTCTGCTGACCACATAGATGTGACAGAGAACCATAGCGTTTGCCTAACATGCATGAAGCATGTGTTCAATCCCCAGTATCACCTGCCCAAAACAAATAAGCCAACAAAAAATGGGGAGAAAAAGCCCTCCACTGTACCCCCAAACCCATCTGCCATGTGATTACATAGAAAGAATAGGAAGATAAAGAATGTGATTTTGCTCAGAAATATTCTTAATCTGCTTCAGTGGAGCAAGTTCATCCCTATTTATAAAATCATCTGAACTTTTTTTAGACTGCTTGATAATGCCATACAGTTTGAGCAAAAGGAAATAACTTTCACCACAAATTTCCATTCCTATAAACTAAAAAAAAAAAAAAACAAAAAACACCCTGGTTGCCTCCTGTTTGCAAGCTCTTGTGAAAGCAGAGAAGAGGCCCGGAGGACCAATAAAAGCCAGCATTTGAAGCCAGGTCGCCACCTCCTGAGCTAGTCAGAGGCCAGAATCCTGCAGTGAATCATGCCCATCTTCCCTGCCCTCCCTGATGTGGAACAGAACCTACAGCTTGCAGAAGGCTGGAAGCCATGGAGGGCGAGCTGAGGCCCGTGTGGGGCAGCACTGAGCTGCAGGGATCGGTGCCATCCGCAGGCCCTTCCTCAAAGGCCCGGCTCCCGCCTGCTCCTCTTAACAAGCATACAAGGAAGACCCGAGCAAGTCACCATGGTCTGTCTGGTACCTTGGTTTGTCAAACTGAACACACACTAGAACCGCATGATTTCTGAGGAAATTAAAGAGAAGGAGAAGTTAACGCTAACCGTGTGCTAGAACTTCGCTGACTTTCCTAACACTTATTCTGTTCTACATTCCAGATTTCTGCTCAGCCAGAGACAGAGCTCTCCAAGGCCACACAGCTAAGAAGCAGCTGGTTGGGAATGGAGCCTGAGTCCTGGACTCCCAAGAACCTCCGACCTTCCAGATGTGGCTGACCACCAATGACCTGGGCAGTTCTGAGGACGACTCCTCTCAGCTGGTCACCCCGCATGACACAGACAATGACTCTCACCTGAGGGCGCTACATGTGGACTTCATTCCACAGCTTTTGAGTGATGCTTCCAACATCTGCCATGTTCCAAATAAGCATCCTCAGGGGTATTTTGCATTTCCCGAGTTTCCAAAAGGGCCTTTAGGATTTTACCACACTAGGACAGTAGGAGCCCTCTGTCAGGATGCCAACCAAGTCGAGCATCACCCTAGCAGCTGAGCATCCGGTTTAACTGCAGCGTTGGCACTTTGTGATAAATTAGTGGGTTTTGGGTTGCAATTTGGGCAGTCTATAAAAGGTCTGCCAGGGCCGGGGATTTAGCTCGGTGGTTCTGCCACTTGCCTTGCAAGCAGCAAGGACCCAAGTTCAATCCCCAGTACCCACCCCACCCCACCCCCCAAAAAAATCACAGCAATTTTGGGGCCAGGGATTTAGCTCAGTGGTTCCGCCGCCTGTCTTGCAACCACAAGGACCCAAGTTCAATCCCTGGTACCAAAAAACAAAAAAGGTCTGCCATCACTGGTTTAGGAAAACTTGATTTTGAATCTGTCTGCCTTTTTCTAGTACTAGAGATAGAACCCAGGTTCTCACATAGGCAAGCAAGTGTTCTATCACTGAGCTACATCCCCCGCTTTTTATTTTTGAGCTAAGGACTCACTAAGATCCCCAGGCTGGCTTCGAAATTGTGATCCTCAAGTAGCTAGGATCACAGGGGTGCACACCACACCTAGAACCAAGTTATTCTAGGAAGGCTACAAACAGAAGCTAAGGCCTTCAAAGTAGCCTACTCCACACAATATTCTCTCTCTCTCCCTCTCTCCCTCCCTCTCTCCCTCTCTCTCTCTCCCATGAATGCTTTCACCACTATTTCTCTCGGTCACCTGTGATAAACATGTCACAAATCCCAGGGCTAAGTGGCTGGTGCTTGTTTTATGTACACAGAGTGAAGTAAAGGCTAAATGACATTTAGTCTAGCAACCAGCTTATCCCTAAGGGGCCTCACAGGAAGTTCACCAACACCTTGAAGGTCTGTCACTTTCTGGAGGATAAATGACCTGGATGGAGGGTTTCAGAACATGAACTCATGAGCCAGGCGTGGTGGTGCATGCCTGTAATCCCAGCACCAGGAGAAAAAAGAAAATGAACTCATGGCCTCAGTCCCTTTTGGCTCAGCTACTGGATTTCTCCTGAGACTCAAAGTACAGAAAGACTCGAGGTTTTACAGATGCCCGTCAGTGCTTCCACCTCTCCACCCCTAAAGCAGAGGGTCTCAACCTTGCTGCATTCCAGAATCTCCCAGAGAACTTTAAAAGAAAAACAAATGGTTTCTAGGCTTGGTTTCTGTCTCCCAGAAATGCTGACCTGGGCGAGGGTCAGACACATCAGAGGTCAGGAGTTCCCCAGGTGACTAACGTGCAGCAGGGTGAGGACCAGGGCTGTAAAACCTCTTAAAGAAATCAGAAGCAGCTCCACACCACAAAAATAAAAAATACTCTCAGGCCGGGGATTTAGCTCAGTGGTTCCCGCCTGCCCTCGCAAGCGTAAGGTCCCAAGTTCGATCCTTGGTACCAAAAAAAAAAAAAAATGCTCTCAAGGAAGGAAGGAAACAAGTGAAGCAAACACTCAGCCCCCTGTCTTCTCCACACCCAGCCCTTTCCTTCTCGGCCTCCCTCCCAGGGCCCAGCTCTTCCGTCCGCTTAGGTACAGTCTGTACTTAACCGGAGCTTCTGGAGCCCCTTACCCCGGCCCTTTTAGTGGTGGCTCCCATAGCACCCACTGCTCACATCATCTGCCAGTGTTCTCGGAGGTGACCAAGGAAGAATGGTTACACCCATTTTACACCTGAGGACAAGAGTCTCGAAGGATACAGGCCTTATCTGGGGTGGAAGACAGCCACACCACTCCCCTGGGTTCGCTCCCAAGCCAGTTTCTCTCCTGGCACTTTCCCTCATAAGGAAGCTCCAACGGATTGCTAAAACCAGGGGACTTTCCTGGATCTCCACCACCATGTTACTTCTCTGCTCTGGAACCTTCCATGGCTCCCACTGACCATAGGATAAACACAACCCGCCTTGTTCAGCTTTAACATTCTTCTGCTTCCTGAGCAAAATGACATAACCCTTTCTTGCTATTCAAACCCTTCTGCATCAGACTCTACATTTCAAATATCCTTGTCATTTCTCTCCTTCTGATGTTTGCTACTTGTTCAAAAATCTGGGAAGCCCAGATTTTTAAATATATTATTACTATTCCATCCTATATCCATCTGTTTGGAGAAGGAGGAGTCTCTCCAACTGGATTAAGCTCTTCAGGGGCTAGAATCACACATCTCTTCATGGCCCAGACAGCCCCCAGCAGAACGTGAGGCCAGCGGCACAGTAAACACCTGCTGGTGGGCATTTGTGGGTGGGGCACTCGCACCCTTGGGAGGGAGGAAGCCTGTGCAACCAGGCAGTCAAACAGCCTCCCAAGAAAATCTTAACAAGCATACAATGTATGCCCCGGATGTAGCTCTCTAGCAGAGCTGATGTGCAAAATCACAGGGTCACAGGGCAAACAGTGACGGCACACAAGCCACAGCAGCAGCAATGCCTTCAAGGACAGCAAGGTTTCTGAGGAAACTCTCAGAACAGAGTCGGCCCGCAGGACTTCTGCTCAGCCCTCTGGCCACCTACCTAGCTGGACACAGTCTTTAACATGTAACTTAGAATGAATGATTACAGCTGTACACTCCGGTGCATGTCTGTAATTCCATCACTCTGGGAGGCTAAGGCAGGAATCCGGGCTCAAGTCGGGCCGGGGGAACTTAGCGGCACCTTGTCTCAAAATAAAATATGTAGCTTGGTGCGAAGGTCTTGAGTTCAAACCCCAGTACCACCCCCCCCCAAAAGAATTAATGATTATTCCTTGCTCTGCTAAATATTCATTATTTGTCATTGTTTTATCTGTAGATTTTCAGTGTTAGAACCTATCTTTGACCTATTGCGATTATTGTACGCCCAATAATGTACAAAAACTGCCCACAAACAAATGAAAATATTAAGGGTTTTAAGAGGCATCTGAAGAACTGCCTCTACCTTAACATAAATTCCGCCAGGTAAGTGAAGCCAAGCACATCTCCTTTCCAACCACAAGAAGTAAATTTACAAATCTAATGGACTGGATCACAGAGCCCTGCGCTTTATTTTACACAAAACAGAATTCCCCAATTTGATTTATGTGAAACAAAACTCCCCAGTTTTTACTCTGCTCACAGAATAGACAAAGAATACATCACAAACATACTTCGCTCCCTGCCTCAGCTGAGCAACCGTGACCACACATTCTTCTTCCTTCTCAAGTTCTCTCTTTTTTTTTTTTTTTTTTTTGGTACCGGGGATTGAACTCAGGTCCTTGTGTTTGCGCAGCAGGCAGCGAAACCGCTGAGCTAAATCCCTGGCCCAATAATAATGAAATGATCTGTTTTTGCTTTATTTTTTGGTACCAGGGATCAAACTCCGGTCCTTGTGCTTGTGAGGCAGGCAGCAGAACCACTGAGCTACATCCCCACCCCTTCTCAAGGTCTCTTGAAGCGCAGGTTCTCCTCGAGGGGGACTGTCTCCTGGTGGGAGGGCTGGTCTCCACACTGACTTCAAAGACAGGTGATGCTCCAGCTAGGAGAAATGTGGCAAAGAAGCGCTCCACACTCCTTGGACCTCAGACACGAGCACAGAATGGGCATGGCATTTCCAACAGCCAGCACTCACAGCACTGTAAGTACAATGAATGACCTTAACTGACAGCAAAGCAGCTTACATAATTTGCTAAAATGGGAATTGTATCTTACATCAAATCAAACAACAAATACCTCCAAAACCAAATATAACCTTCACTTACTCATTTAGTAATCCTCACAGTGCCCTAAATTGTATAAATGAATGCAGTGAACATAATCAAAGCACCACCCACCATCTATGTAACCAGCTAGAAAAGAGAATGAACATGCACACTCTGATCTCTAGGCAGTAATGATTTCTGGGTGGGCTCTGGTACTTAAGAACCATACTCTTGGCTGGCTCTGACCCAAGCACCTGCTGAGGGGTGAAGCAGTCCTCCCGGGGCAGTGTCTGTCCAACCTGGTCTTCCTTTCCTTTGTCCCAGACAGGCCACCTGGGAGTCCTGCAGCTGGAGAGGGCCTGACCACCGTGTAATGATTGGCCACAATGAGCTATCCTTCCTCCCTACCACAGCAACAAGTCACTACGGGGAGAGGGCACAGGCCTTGCACTCAAGGGGACCCAGTTTGCTGGCCTAACTTCTCTGTGCCTCAGTGTATTCACAGGCAAAAATCACACCTTTTCAAAGGGTTATGGAGAATATTCCATGCTATAGCACAGTTACAGCAGCCAGCACAATGGCCAGCTTGCAGCTTTAGTTTGCTTCCCCGCTGAGAGAACAGCAAACACAGATGCCTGAAGGTGGATGCACTGGGGCACACTTAATCAACAGGCAGGAGAGTGGAGCAATCCCAGTTTCTCTCAGGAGGCTGAGGCAGAAGGACCATAATTCAAGGCCACCCTGGGTAACTTAGTGAGACCCTGTCTTAAAATAAAACATATAAGGGTCAGGGATGTAGCTCAGTGGCACTGTGCCTGCGTGGCAAGCGCAAGGTCCTGAGTTTGATTCCTGGTGGGAAAAAATTAAAAATAAATAAGTAAATAAAAAATATAAAAATGCTGGCCCTATAGCTCCAGGAAAAGGCCCTGGGTTTAATCCCCAGTGCTCCAAAATAAATAAACAAATGAATAAGTAATTAAAAATATAAATAAATAAACGGGGTTGAGGATGTAAGTCAGTGGTAGAGTGCTCCCCAGTTCAGTCCCCAGTACCTAAATTTTTTTAAAAAGGCAAGGAAAACAAGCAACCATCCTCTGGTGCTCTGTGAATACAGGAAACAATTTCATGAGCCTCTCATTTTTGTGGTGTATTACTCCAGCTTCTGCTGTCACAGGTTTCTACATTTTCAAGTTATCCTCAATGAACATGTATTACTTTTATGAGAAGGAAAATCAATTTTTTTTTTTAAATGTTGGTTTGCAGGGTAGGGGTGTGGCTCACTGGTACAGCACTTGCCAAGTACAGCAGGGCCCTGGGTTCAATCCCAAGCATCACCAAAAAAAAAAGGTGTTGGCTTGCTACTTTCAAATAAGGACTACTGAGGGCCAGGGATTTAGCTCAGTGGCGCCACACCTGCCTCGCAAGCGCAAGGTCTGAGGTCCTGAGTTCAAGCCCTGCTACCCCACCAGAAAATGAAATAAAATAAATAAAGAATTCTGAATGAACAGGATCGAGATTATCTGAATTTAGATAAAAGCCTGAAAAGATAACTCCGATGGATCACTTCTTTTCCTTAGCAAGGGAGTTTTTGGTCATTTTACTGTACTCTTACTGTGCTGGAGACACTGGAAAAACCGAAGATGAAAGTAAAGTAACTTAACTCTTCTATTTGCTGTAAAACATTTGGTGGGAAAGATGCCCACAATTATGGGCAGAAGGACAGGCGGGGAGTCCCCCCTAATTTTAATAATGGCTCTCATCACATGGGATAACAGAGCTGACGACACCCAAGCCTATGACTCTATCTGCTCTGAACATGTCACTGTCATCCTGAGACAGCCAATGTCACACCAGCCACATCTGTCACTGCGACACACACACAATGCTGCCATACATCTTCTCAGCACACACTCTCTACCTCCTAGCCCTCAGCTTGTTCCATCTCCCAACAAAAGCCCAAGGCTTAAAGAGGGCAGATGCCTTCGACACGGGCACACGCTAGTAAGTGGTGGGCCAGAATGCAGTCAGCCCCAGGCCCACAGCCCTGCGGACCCAGGCAGCTGGAAGGGCATTCCTACATCCTGTGGCCTTGGGCAGCAGCCTTCATTTTATACACAGCCTCCTTTGGATGAATGGAGGGCGGCTGGGCAGGCAGAACAGGTCTGTGGGGTCAGGAGGAAGCTGACAGGATAAAGGATGGAGGAAGGACCGGAAGCCAAGTCAGGGCGTGGGAGCTGAGGACGGGGTGGAGCGCTCAGGACACATGGCCACAGTCTCCTGCCTCAGTGCCCCCGGACTCTGCAGCCCACCTCCTACTACTGTACCTGGACACAAACTGATCTAGATACCACACAGAAGTTATGTACAAACAAGAAAATTATTTTCTCTCCATAGTATTAAGCAAGCCTTACGTTTTCATATGAACATGCCTGAAGCAGGCATCAGGTTTCTGAGGCACCCAGCATGTTGAAGGCGAGTAGTTTGTAATCTCAGCTGTGCACAAGGGGGACCGCCTCCTCCTCCTCCAGACTGCTCGGGTTCACACAATGCTCGGCCCGGACACGGCCTGCAGCATGAGGCGTCCTGCCTGTGTTTCCTGCTGTCTCCAGGGAGGCTCCAGGGCTCACTGCTCAGAGCCCCACCGCACACAGGGCTCCAGGCCCCAAAGCCTCACCCAGTCTTTCTCACCCAGGCCAGCAGCTGGGTGACAGCAGTGATCCAAGGTTTGGCATCTAATATGGAAGGCACTGTGCACATAAAGCTACTGAGCTCTTATAATACAGCTAGTGTAAGAGGCTGTTCTTATCTTACTTAGTTTTATTAATCTAAAATAGCCTGGTGTCCTGCCTGCCTTGCAAGTGGAAGGTCCTGAGTTTGATCCTCAGTACCAAAAAAACCCCAAAAAAACCCAACAAAAAAATAAAATAGAATAGCCTCGTGGTTACAGTACCAGCCAGTGTAGTTGTAGACTATTAGCAGGTATAAACAGGTATTTATGGCAATGAAAGCAGACTAAACACAGTGTTATGATTTGCTTTTTCTCCATTTAATATAACATGGATTTCTCTCTGTAACAATGCATTTGATTGGTTTTTTTCCTGGTACTGGGAACTGAATGCAGAACTTTCACATTAAAACTCTTTGCTGAGCTTGGGCTCAGTGTGTGATCCTCCTGCCTCAGCCTCCGGAGTGCTGTAATTATAGGCATACGGAACCATACACACCTTGAATATTATTTTTATTGCCTCTATCTGTTCAGTACAGTAAGGAATACTTGACTACTAAGCCCTTGAAATGTGACTAGTCCAAACTGAAAAGTGTTGTAATATATATACAGATTTCAAAAACTTTGTATGACAAAAGAAATGTAAAAAATAGTGACAATTGTATATTAATTGCATGTTGAAATAGTATTTTTAATATAGTGGATTAAACAATATATTTAACTTAATTTATTTTTTATTTTTTTGAGACAAGGTCTCGCTATGTGGTTCAGACTGGCTTTGAACTTACTATGTAGCTCAGACTGACCTTGAAGTCATGGTGATTCTCCTGCCTCAGCCTCCTGAGTGCTAAGATTATAGGTGTGTGCCACCACACCCAGCTTTTTTTACCTTTTTATTGTGGCTACCAGAAAATGAAGATTACTGTACTTATGTGGTTCCTATTAGTCTTCATTAGATGGTACGGCCCACAGACCTCCAATATATGAAATGAACTACCTCCATTCCTGCACAGCCAGAAGGCAGGACTGAGAAAACCGCCACCTAAGTCACTGTCTGGGACTGTGATTCAGAGGGGCCTCTTGTGCCCTTCAAGGCAGAGCCTGGAGAGCCTGTGCTGCACTTGCATGTCAAAACACATCTGGCCCGGGAGGTAGCTCAGCTGCCTCACAAGCACAAGGTCCAGAGTTCAACCCTAAACCAAAAAAAAAAAAAAAAAAGTCCCTCCAGGGTAAAAAGGAACAAAAGGGAAGAGGGAGGTATTCTTTGAGATGTGGAATCTTTTTCTGCCACATATTAGCAAAGTAATTACAGCTGATGGAAAGATAAACTTGAAAATAAGTAATTTTTCTGTTCTCCACTCAATACACCTAAGTGCCACAAAAGCACTAGGCAGCGTGCGGAACAAACACCCTGGCACCTAGGAGGGCCATAAGCACCGAGGGACAGAGGACTCGGCCATCTCCGCTCCCTGGGTAGGAGCTCAGTCCCTCTCCCTGTCTATCCCCACTTCACAGTCAGGAAACATGTTGAAGATGGGAAGCAATTTGTCCAGGGTCATTAAGATACTATCTCTCCCCAAATTGTTCCGTTTCATGTTGGGGGAAGGGAGCATAAACAGAAAA